GTGTGTGTGTGTGTGTGTGTGTGTGTGTGTGTGTGCCCACAAGACACAAAAGCCAAAAGCGCAGTTTGACAGGAATGGGCAGGGACCGTGGCAGGGACGGAAAAAAACAACTTAACCCTCTAGTGCCCAGAGTGCCATATCTGGCATATGTCAAATGACCAGCTTCAGGGGAAACAATAATTAGTTTTTGTTATGTTCGGTAATTTCAAGAGGTGGGTAACTGGAGAATCATCCCCTGACTACTGAGTGCCCTTGGGGGATTTTTTCTAACGTATTTTCCCCTTTCAACTTCCTGTTTTTTTACCACCACTTGTGCTTGAAACAGACAACAGCAGCAACTCTTCTTCAGTCCATCACCATCAACCGTCAGGTATATAATTTGTCAATTTTTCCTAATATATGTCTTGAAACAAAGTAGATTTAGATATTGTCACCCTCAAATTCCATGTTCAACATTTAAATTTTGATTTATGGGGGTGTTTTTTTGGTATGGTCTAATTAATATGGCACACTGGGCCGCCCTGGACTTTTAAGTGTGCCAGATGTGGGACATTGGGCATTTGAGTCCTGGTTTTTATCGTATAGCCTTGTTTCAATATATAAAATGTCAAAAAGAAAGATTGCAAGTTGAAAGCTGAGTCTAGTGGATGCTGACCCCAACATCATCGTCATTCGATGGTAAGACACCAAGAAAGTGGATATCATTTCGTCATATGTTGGACCAGAACCTGTTGAGAAGGTTACCAGGAGGGACAACAAAACTGAAGGGAAAAAAATGCAGTGAAGGGCCCTGCTGTAATTCGCACGTACAACAAACACATGGGAGGGGTAGATTTACTTGATCGTCTCGCCGCTCTCTGCAAAGCAAAAATCAAGACTCAAAATTGGTACATTTATTTGTTCTACCACACAATCAACATGGTGGTAGTCACCAGTTGGCTGAGATATCGTCGCTACTGCAGGATGCTTCAGCATTCTCCAGTCAAACTATGTGACTTCCATCAGTCGATTGCTGACAGTCAGGTTACTGCCGAAAGGTTGCCAGGACGACCTGCAGCTGGGAGTCCTCAGTTTCTCTCACGTTCTAGCAATCAAGTGAGGCCCCCAACTGTCGACACACGGCTCGATCGCGTGGATCATCTTTCTCTCTATGCCGACCGGCAACAATACAAACGCCTCAGATGTGACTCAAAGACCTACATCTTGTGTAGGAAGTGCGTTGTTGGCACGGGCAAACCTCCAGAGCATGACAGCTATCCTGCATTTAAAGAGATTGAGATGGCCGGGCCATGTCAAGAGAATGGACGACAACCGGATTCCGAAGCAACTTCTCTATGGAGAACTTGCCCGGGGAAAGAGACCAAGAG